CATAAATAAGGTACTGAGAAGCAACTTCCCTCTTGTATTAGACTGCATTATCTCCCTTTATGAATATTTTCCTTAAGATCTGAGATCCTCTGAAGCAATCCTGAAATAGCATTTGCTGCAAGAAAAGAGGAAAAGTAGCTTGGTTTCCAAAGTTACAACCATTTATTAATTCATGCACTTTATTCCAAGGTTTTCTCTACCTCCCATATTTCTGTTTGTAGTTTCTACAATGTTAGATCTCTTCTAGTCTTCCAGACTTTTTCTACTCAATTTTTAATAGGACATGCAACTGATGGTACCTTTACTAGGTAATGAAAATTTGTCATATGACAATGAAAAGCCCTTCCTGAAAACTACATTTCACTCAGTACCTAGTTGAACAACTGTAGTAATAACCTACAGGTAACATCACAGGAAGTAAACACACATTTAAAAACTGATCTTTATCCTTTACATTTTAAGACATACACAAAATTCTAATCATTTTATGTATTTTTTTTTCTGCGGAATCAATCACAAATGATGGCTTCTTTGCTTTAGGCCTCGTGTGCAACAAAGATCATCTCTGTTCCACACTGTACAAAACAAACGTACTCCATGCAATATAATTCTGGAGAAACAAAACTTAGTGTTTATTATTTTGAGATGGACACATTAAAGGTGATATTCCACTGGTGCTGTGAGGATATAGCTGTAATTACGCAGCACATGTGTGTCATAAAATGGCAGACCCTGGTGATGAGAAAATGTGCATCCATTCAAACAGCCATTCTGACAGGGCAAAAATTTTCTCAAGAGTAACAGGAACGTCTGTTATGAACTGAGCTTGAATTTAAATGACTACAGTTTCCCTCTTGCCCTCTGGGCAAATGTGTAGTACACATAGGAATTTCTTTTGTCAACTATCAATTTGTAAAACATAAAACCAGCAGGAAATGGCGCTGACATAACAACACAGTTTATCTGTCCAGATTCATTCCCAACACAAGTTGTGATTCTGTTTACTGCTATTTTGTTCTGCTTTTTTTTTGTCCCAGAAGGAAAAATTCAAAGAAGATGAACAAGTAACAGAGAACCAGTGACTAACACAGTGAAACTGATATAGTTAAAAAAAGAGAAAAAGTGGGTTGAAAAAATACCCTCCATTTCACAACGCACTTCCTATGGAAGTAAGAGAGAGAATATTTAGACACAAAAAAGCTGCTCTAGTTGTGCAGAATCTGTCCATTTTTCAGTTATGGAATAAAATTGGATTTGATTCACATATACAAGAATGGGGGAGACATCCTTTTATTGCCTGAGGAGATCCTTAGCTATTTACCGGATTTGTGCTCTGCAGAGATGCCCACTTCTCCCTTGCCAGCAATATCCTGAGGCTTTAAGCTCTGTAGTATCTGGTGTGACACTCTTGAATGGAACCAGGACATCAGCTCATTCCTACCCCTTTTCTGGGTTGTTACTGGACAGCAATATTATGTGCCCAGAGGGGACAGAGTTGGATTTCTATAGCTGAGCCCAAGAAATTAATCAAAGTCTGTTAACACATGTACAGACCTAAAATATTTTATCCTGAAATCTAAATTGTTCAGTAAGTCAAATCTCTGCTTATAGCATCACTTTATCCCTAGAAATATGTGTGGAGCTTTTGGACAGGGTTTGGTTTTTTTGTTTTGCCTTTTTTTTTTTTATTTTGACAACAACTGGGTATCTTTTCCACACAATGATCAGAAAAAACAATTGTTTGGATAAAGCAAATTTAATATAGTTATTATGTTTATCCTTCACCTCCAGTTAACTGATTGAAAATTATTTTGCATTTTCTTGTCCTTTTAATTTTTTATGTAGACACTCAAGCCTTTCTTTCCAGCAATGCTCAAACTAGACAGAAGATCAACAACAGCATCTGTAAAACATGTACATAAGAATTTATAATCATCATTTAGAACCAGCAATCAATTGATGTGAATTGAATGTCTCTACCTAAACTCAAAATAGCAGGGGTATGTTTAAAAACCAACACTAGCTAACAGCAATTTACCATATTAAAAAAAAATAATAATCAAAAGTAGAATTAGAGTTATGATTCACAATTATTTTGCTTTTTCTTGTTCTTTTAAATTTTTATGTAGACACTCAAGTCTTTCAGTAGATTTGGGGAAAAAATGTTAATTATGAACATTCACATTAGGAAACAGTCAAGCGCTCAAATGCACAAGTGCTCCTAAACCACTTAACCCAGAGGGGCTGACTAAGTCACCTTGCAAGCTGCCTCCTTGTTGAGTACCTAACTACAAGAACAGTTTCAAGGAAAAATCAGTGTTGTATGACTGGAGGAAGATCATAGGTTTTTGCTAAAGCAAATGAAAACTACTGCTGTTGAGTTCTTGCTTGTCAATGTAGTAACTTTTAATACTTTTAAATACATCTTTTAAACATTTTTCTTTTTAAACATCTATTTCAAAAGGTTTTCTCAGGATATCTAAACTAATAACTTGAGTATTAAAAGAGTGTAGAAATATATAATTGAAAAGATGGTAGGAAGTAATCAGGGATACTCTCCTCATACCACCAAAATCCAAATCTTTAGAGAATGCCATAGATGCTTGAGACATTTTACAGACAAGCAAAATAACACATTTCTCTCTGCTTCAAGAGCTTTCAGGTTTGGATTAGACACAGAAAACTAAAGAATGAGAATAACATGAAGTCAAAAGAGAAATGACAGATCTGTGGTTACATCTGAAATTTGTTCTTAATTTTGTTAGATAATTTTAATGTTAATTTTCTGCTAAATAAATGCTATGAATAATATCCACCAAAGAAGTACAAATGAATAAAAAAAAAAAAATGGATAGAAGCTCATCAAAGAGGATGTGTGGAAATGAAAACTCCACACTCCAGAGAGGACACAAATGAAATAAAGTACCTGTGCAGGAGCTGACAAACAGCAACTGGGAAGGACGAAAACAAATATGAAACAACCGAGGATTGCTTCATGCTGACAACTTGTCAGGTAGTGATTACTAAGAGTAGGCAATGAGGCAAGATCACTAGATTTTAAGATGGGAGAGCAAAATAAAACAGTGATTGCACTCTGGATACACTTGAGCAACACAGCATAGAAGTTGACGAAGCCAAAGTGAATCAGTGCATGAATGTTGTAAACATTATTCCTAAGAGCAAAAGAATAGTGTAAAGAAAGCTAGGAAAGAAAAGGCAGCCATGCAAGAGTACATCTCACAAGGAGCTGACAAAACATTTGAGTTAATGGCTAAAGTTCTAGGAGCATTTGTGAGAAAGACTGCATGCAAAAGTTCATACACCTAACTTTTAAATTTATACAATATGTAACGTCTATAGTAACAGTACATGAGTTTTTATTCCCATTTCACTAAGATTAAACATGAATATGGTTTGTGTGACATTTTTAAGATAGAACTATAAGTGAACTGAGACTAAAGATTACTATTTGGGGACAACTTTCCCCGCTGTTGTCTCCCTCTGGGTGCGTACAGCATATTAAACATATAATAGAACTATTAATATTAATAATGAATATTAACATATTAACCATACAAGAGAAAATGTAAAGCTCCTTGTTGTAGACAGAGGTAAGATTAAGTTATGTACTACTGAAAAAAACCCTTACTAATGTGCATTTAGACTCTGAAATTCTGTGCTGCAGCCACCAGTGTATGGAGAATGAATCGGTACTATCAAAGTAAGGAGGTCAAAAGGACATAAATACTAACCACCCCCAATAAAAAAGAAAAAAAATTGGAAAAACAAAGGAAGACATTGAAGTTGCAAACAATTTGCAATGCAAAGATATCCTACAATTAACCCCATCCCTCAATGTTATCAAACTCTTATGTTAAATTGCTTAAAAATGTAGAGCTAGCATGAAGTATTGCTTTTCCATTGAGGTCAAACTGCAGTCTGTTTAAAGTAACTGAGAATCTTGTCCAAGAAAATGTCTTGTTATTATCAAAAGCAGCCTGCGCTGGCCTAATATTTCCATTGTTTGAGTTGTACTTGTAAGTTTTGTCTGGTTTTTACCTCCTCTGCTAAGGCACTTCTGTGGATAAATATCCTAACTTAGCTAGACCAATACTCAAAACTCTGTATTTCTTACTGGATGCCAGGATCTCATTATAAGAATCTAACTTGGCAATAATAAGACTAAAACATGACACAGAAAGTAACAGTTTCTTTTAATTCTTAATTGTATCCCTAAACTTCTCTGAAAGAGTATCTACAATTAGTCACAAACACTTTTTGCAGTGCTTCTCTTTGTGTGATTATACGACACACATCCACAGATGCATATGTAATCTATTGAGAGTTTTATTATATCCTTACAATAAATGTTTCACCAGGTTTGTTTTTCCTCCTGTTTAAAGGAAGCAGAAAACAAGGCAGTAAGGTACTGAT